CCTCAGTAGAATTCAGGTTACAGGGTTCAGTCATTTTTTCCTCTTTTATATGCACTCCTTCTGAAACATAACCACATAACCAATATATCAAACTAACTTAACTTCTCATTTTGTTTCAGCTGATATCGAGGACCTGAACATCTGCTACGTGCTGCATAAAGAAGAAAACGCCACGTCCGATCTCTTCCATTTCACCGTGGAGGATAAAGGTAAAAGTTTTAACATTTTCTTTTTTCTTTCTGTTTGCATTAAGACGTCCCTTCATCCCCGTCCGCAGACACTTGAGTTTTAAATACTTGCCCCAGTTTTGACATTTCATCAAAATACTGCTGATGGATCGGGTGGAGACGAGATGGCGTTGACTTTTCGTGCGTGGTGTGTAACCTTTAGACTCAGCGGCTCCTCGTTTCTCCGTCTGTGTTTGTGAATCTCCGTTTCTGCTCACGCATTAAATCACAGCTCATGATTGTGATGGACCTGCGAGTCAGCTGTCAGGAATCATAATCCGCCTCACAGCACATTTAATTTGGTAAACACTTCCCTCCAGATTTGACAAACAGTCGGGTTTGTGATGCTTTCATTCATATTCATTATGCTGAACGGGGGCTTCGGCCTCTGACGGTGTGGGTGTTTGTGGAGTTGAAGGTGTGTGTGTGTGTGTGTGTGTGTGGGGGGGATACCTGCTATGACTTCATTTGATATTTGGTTTGAGAAATCTGCATAGGCCAACAGAGGGCGTTCATCTGTAAACGATGCTACGTCTCATTAGCGTGAGGTTTTATTAAAGATGGAAAACTCTTCCTCGGCTGCTGAAGCGAGACTCATTTTCACATTACATTCATGTCATGATCAGGTGTCGGTGTAGTGTGTGTGTCTGACTAAACACTGATGGGAAAATTACAAACTGGTTAAACCAGGAAATGCTAACTTTTCAGAGTAGAGGCAGATCCTGACCTTCCTACAGGTCAAATGGAACTGTCAAAAGTTTTTAGTGGATGAAATGTTTTTTAGTTTTTAATAGAACATAATGTTGTGTTAGCCATGTACAATATACAGTAAAGCAACATTAGCTACAGTTCATTTGGTTATTTATGCAGCTGAGCTGACCTTGAGGGGGATAAAATAGTCAAGTTAATGCTAAAAGCTAATCAAAAAGAAAGTAAAAAAGGATAAAAGCTAGTAACAAATAGAACAGAACAAGTTCTAGCCGCAAAAGCTATAGTAATATTGTTTAAATTTTGAATTTTTAGCTGTGATTTAGCAAGTTAAGCTCAGTGGTGGCTTTGTCCTCATTCCATATACAGTTTACAGTGTGGCTTTTTTTTCTGCTTAGCCTTTATGGCTAATTACGCAGCGTTATTGCTTTCTTTATGTGCGAATACAATGAGCATTAATTAGTTTCCGTTCATGAAGGCAATAGTCTTTGACTGCCTGGCTGATAAATGTCTTTGTTTAGCATCAGCCACGTAACTGGGCTCCAGACAAACAACAACAAAGTAGACACAATTTAAAGCCCGTACACCGAGGCTTCTGTCAAAGTTACACTTCAAAAAATGTTCCGCAATTATTTATATCACAGGACGGTGAGAGAACGAAACCAGTGGGAAAAAAAGAAACTTTAAAAGAAAAACACCCCAAAACAGAATCATATACAGTTTATTATTGTCTTGTCTTTTCTTCACTTTGATGAACGTTAATTTATGGCCTTTTTCTTTTTTTTCCCGGCTGGTGTTTAATGTCCTCTGGGTTTCCGTAGTCTCAGTGAAAACAACAACAACAGTGATTACTTTTAAGAATTGCTCAGTGAGTTATTAATGAGGAAACGGACAACAGCCTTGTCCCTGGTGGCTGGTGTTTTTGTCACGAAGACGCAGACATTTTTAACCGCAGTTTTGCTGCTGTCCTGCGTCACACGGAGCTTCTCTGTGAGATGAGATAAGATACGACGGACGGCAGGTGAATGCCTTTCTATTTGTTTGTTTTGGATGATGGATGATGCAATAAATCAAGTTGTTTCATTCCAAAAACAAACAAAAAAATCAAACCGCAGGTCGGACAAAGAAAGCTGTTGAATGGCTTGATTTTTTTTTCTTTTCTTTTTATATTTAAACAATTAGAGCCCATTGATTACGGTCAAAGGACTTTTTCCATCATTAATGAGGCAGATTTTCTTTTTATATTTAAACAATTAGACCCCATTGATTACAGTCTTTTGATTACAGGACTTTTTCCATCATTAATGAGGCAGAGTGTTTTTGCCTTACCGCAGGAGGTCACAGATTCAAGCCCTTGGCAAATACAGTATTTCCAGTATTTTGCTGTAAATATAATATAGACATTGCCCCCCTCCAGCCCCCCAACCCTGTGCAGGCCCCTGCTCCAGATGTTGAAAACAGCCCCACTGTTTTAACCTTGTTTAATGTTTAACGTTTATGTCTGAAAAGTTTGAACTCGTTCTCATGAGATCATAGGACTTTTTGATATATGCTCTTGGGAGACCTGGGGTTCGTTGTTACAAAGTTTAGATTTAAGTCTATTTTGGAATCGTACACAGTCAAAATGGGAGATGTAGAATAAAGGTGATAATTGATTCACCAGGGGAGAGAAAGCAGCTGCTGCAGGAGCTGCTAATGAAAACGTAGAGGAAATATTAGACGGAGGTAATGCATGGATGACAACTTTTAAAAATATGTCACTAATTTAAATCTTTTTAAAAATGACTACTGATGGAACCTGAAACCTTTTTGAAAAATTGGTGTTTGAAAGTTTCAGTAAGAGGTCAAAGGTCATTCATATTCAGAAGTTGTTTCCCTGTTTCCGTCTTTAGTAGAGAAGCACTTTTTTGGGTGATTTCAGATATTTTGCTAAATGTGACTTGATTTCATCGAAATGAAAATATTTGTAAACTTCTAGACTCCTCTCCTCTCACAGACTGAGAAACATCCCAGAATTTTTCACCTTTCAAAACAGATATAAGTTAAATGTTTGATTCTAAAATCAGTTATGCTTCTCCTGTTAAACCCAGCGTCCCTCAGTTAGCTCACGGCTAAACGACAAAATAACAGAGTATTTTGGTTTTTATTGTATTATATTTTCTGTATAAATCTTCAATGAGTCGAGGAACAGTTTGTTTTTTTTTTCTCAGACCCCCAGTCTTTCAGTCTGTCGCTAACTCACTTAGACTAAAATGCTAACGTGTAGCCGACCAACTGTTTCTTTATATTCACATCGAAGGAGAAACATTGACTAATTGATCGTCTTTGCTCAGACTTTTCTTCTCTTCTCTTCTCCAGGCAGTGCTTTGTTTTAAATGGAAAAGTATAGAAGCTTTTAGTAGAACATCGGTTCACAACCCGCGGTCTGCTGTTCCCTGGTTCAGTCTGTGGTCTGTCTATATACAGTATAGCAACATTAGCTACAATTTATTTAGTAATTTATGTGGTCAAAACTGGAACTGGATTCCATGAACACTTTTGTTGTCACTATTTGTACAAAAGTTTGTACAGGTCAAAAGGCCATAACATGTTGAAAATAATGAAGTTCCACCTTTGGTTACTGAACAGCTAGCTAGCTAGCTAGAGTTTTTCTTTATACAAATTATGAAAGTCTAGTAATCTAAAGTTCTTAGTTCAGATACTGCAGTCTGGTGATCATCTGGTCAGACATGTTGTAGTCAACACATTCTTTTCGACATAAAAGTACTCGGAAAACACTTTGAAAGACGTTCATTTTCTCTGTGGAGCCAATAACTGTCAAGTACCGTGTTACAGACGAACAGCTGCTAGAAAAGTCTCTGTTTCCTCCAACGATAAAAAAAACAAAATAAACCAAACCCCAAATCACCTCCTTCACAGCTGCATGGATTTACATCCTGTCCTTCCTCTTGTTCCACCCACACACACACACACACACACACGTTTGTACACTGGGAGGGCTACGGCTACATATCCACGCTAAATGTACATCATGTATGAGTACACAGTACACAGTCGGAGCCGCGAGTTCCACTTCCAGTTTGCATGCACAGCAGATGACACACACTGGGACAGT